TTTTTCTTTTCCTGACATATTCTGTCAAGTAAAGACTATATTTCCCTACTGCAGTAATTTAACTATAGTCACCTTTAACCTTTTTGGAGGGTCATGAAACTTTTGAGACTCTGATGAAAGCTATGGGACATTCTCAGCAGAAAAATACACACACAAAAAAAATTTTGTTCCCTATTTCAGGGGGCTCCTAGAACCTCAGAAGCCTGTATCAGGACCCCAGATACAGAGCCTGTTTTAGAGTCAGAAAGACAAGTGCAGATCTTACACGATGTCAGTGACTTTATGTCTGTTGCGTCCCATTGGTCAACAGGAAACAAAGATTCAAATCTATCAGAGTGGAAACATCTTGTGTCCATATTTACTTTGTAACTCTCCACCCCCATTCTCAGTTCTGTTCACATCATCTTGAGAACATATTTTCTTCCTTTGGCTCCAACTGGTAGCTTTTAGTTCCTAGACAGTGGCTTATTTATATGTGCTGCATCCTTTTCTTGCTGGGATACAAGAGGTTTATTGATCTCACAATAAATTCTTTTGCTTGACTTTCATGCAAACCATCAGTGTCAGGAATTTTGGCTTTTTTTTTTTTTTTTTTTGATACAGAGAAGACTTGCATGTCATTTGCATCTCATTAGTAATAGTCAAGTAAGAATCTCCCTTCTAATAGAGTCACATTGTAAGTTAATAAAAGCAATTATGTGTTGACTGTTCTAACACTTTCATTTGGTTTCGTTTCCGTCTTTATTTCTCCATTGACATTTTCTTAGGATTCGTAGATTTTTGGATCAATGTCTGTAAGCCTGTAATTATACAAATATGTTTTACAGAATTGCAGGGACCTTCACAATTCAAGTTTAAAAAATATTTCCAGGGGCTTCCCTGGTGGCTCAGTGGTTGAGAGTCAGCCCGCCGATGCAGGGGATGTGGGTTCGTGCCCCGGTCCGAGAGGATCCCACGTGCCACGGAGCGGCTGGGCCCGTGAGCCATGGCCGCTGAGCCTGCGCGTCCGGAGCCTGTGCTCCGCAACGGGAGAGGCCACAACAGTGAGAGGCCCGTGTACCTCAAAAAAAAAAAAAAAAAAAATATTTCCAGTAAGCATGACTTACTCCTATGCCTCATTACCGAGCAGTCTCTCTAAACCTTTACTTGATGCCTCTCAATATTGTGTATTCCAGGTCAACGGTAGCACAGAAGCCCTCGTGAGTGTCCCTAGCACACATCAAAAAGACATTTCAAATGATGCCAAATTTTTTTATTTTTTTGCTTGACTGAGATATTTTTGTTGTGTAGTACTTGAATTCAATACTTCTCTTCAATTTATAATCAATACAATAGTAAAACCTGTAACTATAATAGAAAGTAAGGCTATAATTTTATTTGGGGCCTTTAAAGCATTTTATTAAGTTGCCATCAGTAGCATGTAACTGTTTTAGTCATAGAAAGGCAATGAAGCTCTAAGAGAACTGAGGCAAATAGCCCAGACTCTAGATTTTGTGATGCTGTTTGATTTAAATGCTTTTGAAGGTGCTACCTTGCATACAGACAATTCAAATAAGTGATAATAATCCAGTTGTGTGTGGTTACGCTACCACGATGACCATATGATGGCACAGATACTAGGTACAAGTATCAAAGTGGTGACGTTCACAAGCTCAGCAATCAGACTGCCTGGGTCTGCATCTTACTACTTGTGTGAGGCTGAATACATTTAACATCTCTGTGAAATGGAGTGGACGGTAGTCCCTACCTAATGGGGCTATTACTGAATCATACTGAATTTCTATCACTTAACAATGTATATTTTTAATAATTGAAAGAGTG